TCTAGAACTACACACGACCTGATTCTCGTGTAACCAGAGATATGTAGGCGACTTAAAACCAAAGTCTCGGTCGTACCCTTTTTCAACTCTATATCCTTTCAATTGATCCAACTGACATCTCTCGTCGGTCGGACAAAATCGGCTACTAAGTCAACGTTGGTTGCCTGACAATTCATTCTTCATTCTCAATCAACCAAGGGGCAGCTGTTGACACCCAATTTTGACCGACCTTTAACCATTTTTAGGATTATATTCGACTAAATATGTATTTTAAAATTTACTTAAAGTTTCGAAGTTTTAGTCGATTTTTCTCAAAAAATCATATATTGTAGTATCATTTTCTTTATAAAATTATTGTAAATATTATTTCAAATGTTTTAAAATTTAGATGATTTCAATTATACAAATATTTTAATGTATGTAGTATTTTAATAAAATTATTTAAATTCTAGCCTATTCTATTCTAAAATCTTCCAATTCTAGCCACTTGAATTAGAGTTTTATTACAATCATAGCCACTATTTCATTTCAATTCTAACCACTTTAATTGCAATTTTAGCCATTCTATATCTTTGCTAATCTAATTTCAAAACTTCATCTTTTGATCTCATCCGTCCATCCTAAAAAATAAATCCTAGATCGAATCCTAACCCTTCATTGCTATCTAATCTAATGGTTGTGATTAACTCTCTAATTCTCTCAACACCAAATGACCAAAACCTAAACATACCCTCTCTTCTCCCCCCTCTCTCCAAGCCGCCAGCCCTCTCCCTCTCCTCTCCAATTTTCCGGCGACAGAGGTGACGACGCCCCACCCTCTCTTCCCAGCCGTCGTCCCTCTCTCCAGCCGCCACCCCCCTCTTCTTCCTCTCTCCATCTTTCTACCTTTCCCGTCTCCTCCCCTCCTTCGTCCCTCTTCTCCCTTCCTGTCTCTTCTCTCACCCTCTTCTTCCCCTTCCCTCTCCTTCGCTCCCTCTCTTTCTTCGCAGGTACTGTAGCAGTCGCAGGTTCCATCGGCGTCAACCAGCGACAGTCATCAGACGAGCGGCGATCGGCAGGGACAGCAGCAGCCCCTACGCCGACGTCTCTCCTCTCGTCTCTCTTTCTTTTTCTCCACTTCTCCGGCGAACAGCGAGAAACCAGCAGCTGAACAACAGCCATGGCGGACAGCATCAGCAGCCATGACCGGCGAGGAGTCAGCAGCGGTCGCCGGCGAAAACTCCTGCGTCCGGCCAGCAGCTGCAAAAAGAGGCGAACGACCACCTCTCTCTCCTCGTCGCCTCCCTCTCGTTGCTCTCGCCAATGGCGAGCAACCAGACCCACCAGCGTGCTGCAAACAACAGTCGCCGGACGAGCAACGAGCGGCGTCAACCATCAGCCCACAGTCACCGGCAGCATGTCTCCCTCCACTTCACTCCTCTTCCTTCACCCGTCTCCCCTCTCCCGTCATTCCCCTCCTCCCGCTTCTCCTCTCCCTCTCGCTCTTTCTCTCCTCCCCGTTTTCCCCTTCTTCTTCTCCTTTTCTTTTCCTCTTCTTTTGCAGAGACAGGTAGCATCTCCGACCAGCAACGTCTCGAGGAGACAGCAGCAGCAGCGTCTCGAGGAGACAGCAGCAGCAACGTCTCGAGAAGACAGCAGCAGCAGCGTCTCGAGGAGACAGCAGCATCGACTCCGGCGAGCCTTTCCTCTTTCTTTGTTCCCAGCCAACAAGTTCGGCTAATGAGCGACGTAGATTCTATACATATCTCAATATTGCGGCTGATTTTAAGATGAATTTCAACAAATCCGTCTGGGTTAGTTTCTGTTTTAGTTTTTATTATTATTATTAATTTAGATGTTTAATTTGCCTAATGTTCTGCTTGTTTTTCAGAAATATTTTGCTATGAATATAAAACTATATTGTGATTTGCTTGATCTTATGGGCTGTTCTTGTTGATTTTTTCTCTTGAAAATTTGCAAAGTACATGTGTTTTAGCCATGTTGAAAACAATATTGTATGATAATCAGTTCCTGTAAGTCTGCTAAATGTGATTTGGGTATTGACATGCTAATTGTATATTGGTTTCACTTTGATTATTATTTGTTATGATAAGTCTTGTAATTTTCAATAGTAGTTGCAGATTTCTTATATCTTTTATAAATATTATTGTCATTTTAATTGATTATTTTATTTTACCTTGATTGACTTCAAATATATTCTTGGTTGTTATATCTTTGGAAAGTGATATTTAATTAAGGTAAAAAGGATTGTACTGATTTTACTCTCTACTAGTTAAGGAAAATAAGTTTAATTGATTTATTTTTCCTTGTAAATAAATACTGATTCCTTATTTGTTTGTATTATGGTAATGAATTATTTTTTTTCTGATTTGGCTCTCTTTTAAAATAAGGAAAAGGGAATATTAATTGATTCCTTAAAAAATATTTCTTTTCCTTATTTGTTCCCCCTCCTCTACTATATAAATAAGACCCCTCCTCTATTTCATGGACTCATTCACTCTCAACCAAAAATTCTCTCATCACTCTCCCTCCTCTCATTGCTCTCTTGCTACTTTAACAACACATTAATATTCCGATAAATATTCAAGTTGTTCTTCGCTATTTTGCTACTTCGTTCGAGTAAAAGGTGAATCATCTTGTTTTGTTTAACAGGTTAGTATTCTTAACATCCGTACTATTTTCATATTCACATACTTGTGTAAACCATTGTCTTTTTTTTATATAGAATCCGTCATTAAACGATTGCATATTGTCTCACCTTAACTAACAAGTGTGATTACTTGTGTAGTTATTTAATTACTTTCACAGGTTTCATATTTGAAGTTCAAGTTGAAGATTAACTGAAGAAGGATTTGTTTATTTGTTTGAATGTATATACATATATATATATTTTTATTTTTTCCGCTATTTTATTTATTTGAATGATGTAACAATTGTAACCCTAAAGATCATAATAAATTTATTTGGGGGTCGTCTAGGGGAGGGGGATTTATATGTTCGTCATATTTTAGAAATCATGCCTATAGGTTTGTCTTTAACCACCTAGAATTAATGTTTATAGGTGTTATAATCTAATCAATTCTCAATTTGCTTGACACTTTTGTTAATGAAGTTTAAAAAAAAATAATAAATTAGATTCCGTTAATGTTAAAAACAAATCATAGTAACTTAATAGGCCGATTGTGTGTTTTAATAATGTTATAATTTTAGCATAATCTTGTCATATAGAAACCATGTCTAAGGTTTAATTTGTTCATATCATTTACAAAATCATGCATATATATGTTACATTGTTTTTTTTTGTAAACACC